TTTCTTTTGTTATAAATACATTTGTTTAATTTATTAGTACAAAGAAAAATATTTACCTTTGTAATGGCCCTGGAGTTCTTGGTGGTAAGGGAATAGATAGTTGGCCAATTTAAGATTTTAAAAAATATGTATATATTAGAATGGAATATGGTAGATAACTCTGACACACTTAAGGTCATGCTTTGAACCTTTCTAAACTCATAGTTTTACAGTAAATGTTTTGTGTAGTCAAAAGATTGCACCTCAGCCTTTCATGATTTTAACAACTGTACACTATTGATCTAAAGGGTATGTAAATATAAAAAAAATATTTAAAACACTAGAAAAAATTTAGAAATATTGGTCTTCTGACAGTGGGTAATTAGTGGTCTTCTCAACTAAAGATCAGCACACTTAATATCTTAAAAACACTAAATTATTATTTAATCCCTCTGGGTGCAAATATTTATTTTATATTTATATTCAAATTCATATTCATATTTATTTCACAGTCCAGATGCCGGTAAACTGGGTTATTTTCCTAAGTCTCTGTTGCCCTTGGAAAATGGAAAACATCTTAGCAATGACTCCTTGAGTAGGCATGAGAACATATACTGTGACAACGGTGTTGACAAATTATTGTCAGCACAAGTTACTGCCATCATTGGTAGTAGAATTCCCTCTCCTTGTCTTTCATTGTCCTCACCTTAAAATGTAACAGCCCATTATTGATTTAGAACAGGTTTATGTGCAGAATCAACCATTCTGACGTGAGTTAAAGTCCCCTTAAAAGTGAATCACTTTACTACATTATGGAATAGCTAAAACTTCTGCATCAATATTACTTGTACAAGAAAATTAATAAGAGTAATTTGACCCTGTTGATATTTTAAAGTATTAATATATTAAAATAACTTTTTGGGGAAAGCCTCTAAGCGAGGATTGAGTTTCTCTGCCACCTTGCAATGATTGTTTTGTTTTACAGGAACAAATGAAGGTAACATACTATCATTATTGACCAATGCACTAGTGTAGGTGTACC